TCTTTTTCGTAGGGATCATTTTGGATCCAAACACCCAAAATATTCTGATACGCTGCTAGATTATGGGTTCTACTTACTCAATGTAGATAATATCTGTCAGTCTGTTGCAATTTATCAGGTATGTTAACAGTTACACTTTTTTTCTTTCAACCTAAATTGACTTGGTGACCCAGTATTTGTGGTGCATAAACCACTCTCTAAAAATAACTCTTTCTGAGACCTTCCTCATTATTTCATCATTATTTTACTAAATATTGCCTAGATGGCTTAAAAGTTAATGTTGTAGGAATTAAAGAAAATCATCCAGGAAAAAAGTTTTTCAGTTGTTGGTTAATGTTCAAGAGCAGTTTTCATTTACCCAGTTGATGGCTTGTCTTTGTTGTTGATTTAGCACAAATCATTATAGCTGCCTTTGCAATAGCAAGGAGGGTTAATAGCAATATTTTAGGTCTGGTCTTACTCATTCTCAGGTTATTGATGTGTTACGCCATTGCTCTGGCAATAACAAGGTATCCTTGACTTTATAGTTCACTTCTGAAGGACACAGAGAAAAACACTGATGTATTTCCCAACACATGTAAATGAGTTTTATTACTAAGCCATTACCTTATAAGTCAGACTCAAACTGGGCCTTATAAGTGACTTTTATATTCTGTTGTGATTTAAATATAGCAGGACCTTTCTTTGAAACCGACGGGATTGAGTATATAGAATATATGTATAACTTTCTGGGATGCTTAGCTTAACTAGGTCATGTTTTCTAAGGATTTACAGTGTCATCAGTTATTTTCGTTACTCTTTCAGGCAGCGCTTGACATTCGGCAGTCAGTGTTTGGTGGCAAAAATATCCACGTAGCAACGGCTCACGAAGACTTGGCCTATTCTTCTTACGTTCACCAGTATAGCTCTGGGAAGTTCGACAATGCACTGTAAGTTCCACATTCCTTTCCAGTGCTGTTGCTATTGTTTTGTTTTTCCTAATACAATAGTATTTAATGTACCTTGTGGATTAAATTTGCCCTCCTAGAGCTTTAATAAGTTGCCTAAAATGCTCTTGAAGTCATTTAAAAATCATACCAACTTGTAAACCACTCATTTAGATCGTATGTGGTTTAATATTGAGAGTCATATACCTTCATAAAGAATATGACTTATTTTTTAAGTGTCTACTTCAGTAATTTTTTCTTGAATAATCCAGTAGTGTCTGACTAAATGGCAGACTTAACCTAAAAACTTCTTGCTCAAAACATGCAGAAATACTGAAAAAAAAATTAACAATCATCTTTTTAAATGTATAACTGAGCTTGTAGTGGTGAGGAAATCCCCAAGGGACAATAATGGACTAAAGTCCAAAAGAGTAGCCATGAGCTGTGGTGTAACTGTTCTGGGGTGATGGGAAAGCTTAGAAGTTTCTGTAACCTTGGTTGAACAGCAGTCCTGGGTTTAAGGGACAAGGCATTTAGCCCACAGGAAGCTGTGATGTAGAACGGAAACCCTCACATAAAGCCAAGATCAAGGCTGCACCGTCAGGGAAGGGGTGGACTAGAGGGGAAAAAAACTGCCTACTAGCAAGAGAGGTGACATGGAAATTTGTCCATCTCGAGTTGGGCTTTCAGTTGAACAAAAAAGGAACCTCACAGGGGAACGTGTAGCTACAGACTTCTACTGCTCTTGGGTTTGGGCATCAGGCATGCAAGAACTGCCAAACTGAGAAAAACATTAACAAGCACTTTGGAACTGCTCGTTCTTCTGGGATGCTTTTCAGAAGAAAATGCAAAACTGTTGGAAAGACTTAACCTTCATTCCAAACCACAGTCTTCCTATAAATCTAGCTTTACCTATAATGAACTCACCATAAAATTTTTTTACATAAGTAAGGAAACATTTCTTCGATGAGTGAGTCAGCAGACATAATGAACAAGATTAGAACCCTAAAAATATCAGTTAATAGAACTTTTTGATTGCTACTATAGATTAACTATTCTTAAACAATTAAAGATATAAAATATGTTGGCAAACTGTGGTCTATAAGCAAAATAAAGGTTTATTGGAACACAGCGCTCACTCGCTTGTGTTATTGTCTGTGGTTGCTTTCATGCTACTAACAGCAGAGTTGAGTAGTTGGGGCAGAGTGTGGCCCAAATAATCTGAAGTATTTATTGTCTGTCCCTTTACAGAAAAAATTTGCTGATATTAATATAAAGGAAGGTAATATTTTGGAGGGAAAATAAAGAAAAAGTCAGTTTAAAAATAAAACATCTGACACATGCTACAGCATGGATGAACGTCTAAAAAACAGTGTGCTAAGTGAAAGAAGCCAGTCCCAAGGGGCTGCATTATATAGTTTCATTTATATGAAATATCCAAAATAGGCAAACCTGTGGAGACAGGGCTGGGGGAGTTGGAGGAAATGAAGTGAGTGCTGATGGCTACAGGGGCCCTTTGGGGGAATCAAAATATTCTAAAATTAATTGTGAAGGGTGCATAACTAAAGTACACCAAAAACCACTGGTCATACACTTTAAATGGCTGAATTGTGTCGTGTGAATCATATCTTAAGCACTGTTACCAAAGGCAAAATATAGCTAGAATTAGAAAATAGTCATTGATATTAAAACTCAAGGGGGGAGGGTATAGCTCAGTGGTAGAGCGCATGCTCAGCATGCACAAGGTCCTGGGTTCAGTCCCCAGTACCTCCTCTAAAAATAAATAAACAAACTTAATTACCTCCCCCTGCTAAAAAAAAAAAAATCAATAGACAAGTTAAACAGCAGATTAGTCACAACTAAAGAGACAATTAGTGAACTGGAAGACAGATCTGAGAAAATTAATGATTACCTGAGAGAGGAGGATAGAAGATGTGGAGTTGTTTGAAAGGAACTGGCAGATAAAATAGACAAACAGCTTACCTCTTTTCTTTGGCAAGATGGGCCATAAACAACCAAACATGTCAGGTGAGAAAGCAGTATAAAGAAGAATAAAGGAAGCTGCGAGTTTAGAGAGTGATGGAATATATTTTAAGATCTTTTGTATAGGCTGGTCTGGAAAGACTTCAGTGAGGAGTGAGCCATGTGGACATTCAGGGGAAGAGCATTCCAGAGACAGTAAAGCAAGTGCGAGAGTCCTAGGAGAGGACATGCTTTACGTGGTCAGGAAACTGCTAGGCCTGTGTGGCTGGAAAGGAAAGAGGGGTTTATTTCTGAGAACGGTAGGAGATGAGGTCAGAGAGGTGGCCTAGTGAAAGATCGTATTGAGCCTTGTAGGCTATAATAACACCCTCATAGTTGATTCTGGGGGAGATGGGGATCCACTGGATGTTAAAAGTTTAGACCACAAAAGATTTAGAATTTAAAACAAACAAAAAACTAGTCCTTGACCACAAATAGTTTTGGAAATTCTATCAGTATTATATTATAAATTGTGATTTTTTAAAATACTTAAATCATTTATAACTGAAAAGAAATGCTAGAATATATATATATCTGTATTGCAGATTTCATGCAGAAAGAGCTATTGGTATCATTACCCACATCCTACCTGAGGATCATCTTCTTTTGGCTTCTTCAAAGAGGGTGAAAGGTACCCTTTGTAATCTAGTCTCCCATATATATATATATTCACACACATGCATACATATATATTTTTTTTCAGATTTCTTCAGCTGTCAGTTGTAATAATGTCTAGTCTGTGATATTTTTAATTTGATGATATATGGTATAAAATAGAGGTATTTGTTTATTTCCTCAGGATTAGACTATATCTGTATATTACTAAAATAGCCAATTCACTGATTTAAAGTACTTACCTACAGCTCTACTTAAGAATTTGTTTGCTTCTCTCGTGTAACATTGTTAATAAACCAGAATACCTTTCTTTTGCCTCTTTCTTTCTCCCTTTCTTTCTTTCCTCATTTAATCATTCATTCCTTTCTTTTGTGGGGGAGTGGAAGAATCACAAATGATTACTGTACTGTGCAGTGAAATGGATAGCAAACTAAAGATGAGTTTTTTCACATACCATCAGCTTTATAATGCAGGATCGTGAAACTCAGTTTCGTATCAGGTTACCCTTAATGTTGCAAGGCTCTTACCACATACCACTTTCGTCTCTTTGTGTTTTATCTTTTCTGCAAATCACTACCAAAGCCCTTTTATTTAAGGCATTTATTTTGCCAACACGATTGGGTCACCATTGTGGTAATTCTGTGGATAACTTTTACCTTAATTTTGGAACTAGATTTTTCCCCACTCTAGGTTTGCATTTTTAAAGTCACACAAAATTAAAAGTTAGATAGAAAAGAGAAGAAATAAGTCACCTGAAATCTCATCAATCCAGTATCAACAGTTTGGTACATATTTTTTTAGACTCTTTTCTCTTCAAATAATGGAATGAGTGAATAATTTCTTTTTTTTGAGTTCTATAATCTACTTGTTCATTTGCTGTGTTATAAACATTTTCCCATTTCAATACATGTATGTATGTATCCTTTTTTCTAATGTTTTTAACCTCACCTGTCTTACTAGACCTTTATATTATTTTTAAAAATGCTACAGTGAACTTAATCTCTTTTACTTTTGTGTACATGGATAGTTTTCGTAGAAACAAAATGACCTGGTAAAAATATATATATTTTTTAAGACTTTAAATGGAATTTGAAAGTCTTGAATGAGACTTTGAAATTGAGCTGTCTTCTTGCCTGATTTGGTTGGTCTAGTGAGTAGGAGGAAACCAGTTCCTTTAGTTGTTTTTGGTTAAAGGTTATATTCTACAAAATGTGGTTTCAAAATTTTCGTCAGTGCTTAGGTACTCCTTGACCCAGTTTCACAACTAAAAAATGTGCCTTTTTGTTCTTATCTTCCTTCCACTTGCTTAAAAAACTAAGTCATATCAGCAAAGTATAACAGGTCTGATAAAATAGAAAATAATTCTGCAAAATATTTTGATGTATACCATTGTTTTTCTTAAATTTGAAATACATTGTACAATGCAAAATAGAATGACCCCTAAAGTATTCTTTCATTAAAATGGAATACCTTTACCAGTTCTAAACCGTAACCACATATAAATGTATGCAACAAACATTTGTAGAATTTAATTTTAAATCTTATGTTCTGTTAGCCTTGATAGATGGTTTAAAAATGCACTAATTTTATTGCTTTCTTATTCAGCACTTATTTTAGAGGAGATTGCAATTGACTGTCATAATAAAGAAACTGAACAGAGGCTACTACAAGAAGCTCATGATTTGCACCTGTCTTCACTCCAGCTAGCTAAAAAAGCTTTTGGTGAATTTAATGTACAGACTGCAAAACACTATGGAAACCTTGGAAGACTTTATCAGTCAATGAGAAAATTTAAGGTAGAAGCATATTTTACTGTATTTTTCTTTCTCTAAATAATCTTAGGTAATAAAGTGCAACCTTAAATAATAAATCTTAAATAATGCATCATTAGTAATCTTAAATAATAAAGTATGCACTACTGCACTCCTACATTATTTCACATCAAACTTGAGAAAATAGCTAGTGTATAACAATGTAGTCAAAATATAAATAAAATTCAGAAATAAAGACCATACAAAAATAAGAAATACATCAAACCATAAAGACTAAAACAGTTATAGTTAAACTTATCTAGTAGATTAAGTACAGCACGTAGCAGAATGCATGGACGCACAGTAGATATGCAAGAAATGTAAGATACTGCAAGTATTATTTGTAGTGATAAAAATTTACTGAATTTACTTCCCTTTTAGAAATCTGGATTATAAAATTTTAGGGTCACAATAAGGAAAGGATGAGAGTTGCTGTCTTTAAGACATTCATTTTTACTTGAAAATCAGTTTACATGTCCCTCAATTAACCTGACTTTGTTGGAAGAAAATTTGTCAAAACTCTAAAAAATAAAAATGTACTTCTATGTAAAGTAACATACTGTAGTATAGACTTTCTTAAGTTTCTGTTAAAATTTGGAACATGTTAACCGAAAGAAGTAATTTTCTTTTTGGAATGTTTTGATGTTAAGTTCTTCTAACAATTTTTTTTTACCAGGACAAATTTTCTCTTGTCATTTTGCGGTAGGACTCGGTTATTATCATCAGCTTACATGCATAGCTTCCCCAAACAGAAATGCTTCCCACGGGCAGCTTTTGGAGTAGTATAGTGTGTTCCCTGATCTGATTGCCTTATGCCATGCACATGATGCCTTTGGCATTTAGAAGAACCTTACTTATTGAGTAAGAATTACCAACGTAAGGTTTAATCTAAATGTTTAATCTAATGGTTAATTCAGCTTAATTATTTTTCAGGAAGCTGAAGAAATGCACATCAAAGCAATTCAGATTAAAGAGCAACTTCTTGGTCAAGAAGATTATGAAGTAGCTCTTTCAGTGGGACATCTGGCTTCTTTATATAATTATGACATGAATCAGTTTGAAAATGCTGAGAAACTTTATTTGCGATCTATAGCAATTGGTATGTTATTTTAAAATTTTCTTGATTAGAGATCAGCATTCTTATATGTTGTATAAGAGAAGTGTTATTATCATTATTGTTATTAAGAATTAAATGAGTTCAGAGCTGCTAAGGATATTCAGGAACCACTGAAAAATCACCTGGAGCATTTTGCTAAAGATTATTTGTTGTTGAAGCCACTAGTAAAACGTATGACAGTAATGTGTCAGGTAAAGGCAAAAGT